TCATGATATTTTACAAATACGAGTATCATGTTTTTTAAACTTCAACGCCCTGTATCTCAGAAACGCAGCAACTCCGGACATGTGTTCATATGAACATTTTTTTCCCAAAATGACCTAATGAATCTCCCAGCTTCTTGCTTGAAGAATTAGGTAGATACCATTTTTATCGAAAATAAAAAATAATAATCTAAAAATACTCAGTTTTATTTGGCTTGTTCATGTACTCTATCCAAAGCGACATTTTTCTTAAAAAACAAATCTTCAAATTCCTTGGTCCATGTTCCTATGTAAGAAGTACTATGAGGCTCCCCTAAGGAGATGACAGGCCTCTAAAAGTATAATACTGCAAATGGGTTTTTTTCAAATAACTTTTGAACGAAGATGCATAATTTAAAGAAATTCTTACTGCATAATAACCAGCTAGAATCTCACGTAGTTTTCCCATAGTGCCCCTACCAAATTGGTTAAGTCATTTGGACCGCCAGGCACGGGCGAGCCCAACCACAATGTTGCCATTTTTCACATCCCGTATGATAATGTATGATAAAAGAAGTGACATTTTTGGAAGGCCTCATCTTTAAGCGAAAAAATAATCCGTTTCCAAGGAAAAAAACACTTATGTTTCAGGTATACTAATTCCGCCATCTTGAAAATATAGTAATTCTAGTAATAGGATCGTAATAAGCGACCATAAACCCACCAGGATATACATGTAAGTTGCTATTCTTTCAAAATTTCGTCGACTTATACAACGTCGTTCAAAATTTATTTAAAGAAAACCTATTTATCGCAGTACCCTACAGGGGCTTGGATCTCCGTATGACTTTTTTATAAGAACTTGTATACTCTCTTTTAATAGTTTCAGAACTTTTGGTTGCCCACATAAAGTTATGATCAATTCAAGTGTTAAAGAGATGAAATAATCTGTACTGTCTTTTACGGCTCTTAATCAATCGCATGTTAATTTACAAAACATCAATTGATTTCGTATCGAATGTAATTCAACACCAAGGCTGAGGGAATTGAGTGTCATTTGCTATATTAGAAACCGTTAACAATAAATTGATTTAGGCTGCTCTAGCCGGTTACGAAATATACCGGGAAGTGTTTAACAACAGACAAAAGCCAGACACGTTGTGCCACACCTTGCGTGCGTGCAGCATAACACACCCTCGGGGGTGAGGAGTGAATGGTAATATGATTTTATAGGGGTGTATTGTGCTTTTATTCCGCCATGTTGATGGCACGATGTTCCCATAGGTATCGTTTCCAACTTATGAAAAAAGGATTATAAAATACTGCCTAGAAGTATCGTTTTTACAGAGTTGGTGTTTCACGTCACAACATGAATTATCTTCTAATGAATTTATATACAGTGCTTTTCAAAAAGCTAGCTCAAACACCGCTTTGCTGTTCAAAGTCTAGCTTATTACTGATGCAATTATTTATAAAACTTGCAACTAATTTATAACAAATTTATCATGTCGACTACTATTATCCCGTCTCAATTCCGCGTTCGCTGTCTCCTATTCGGACTGTGTCTCGACTGCCACTACTTCGTTCCGCTAATTGGTCGGATATTTATGTCATTATCGACGAGTCGAGAAACATTCCAACGTTTTCCAGGTCGAGTCGTGAACTTCCATGGTAGTAGTCTAGATGGCCACAGATTCAACTTCATATGTGTCGAATACTTGCGATGGCGTCGCGATCGGTCCAGCAAACATGCTTCCATACATGGTCGCCTAATGCACAGTGCGAGGACGCTTCACGCTACCCAAGATCCCAGCTCCAGGAGGACATTACACTATATTCTAGCGTATAAATAACAGTTGAATATTCCAATATGGCGTTTGGGCGCCATCGTGGAGCAATTTTGAAATTAAATCAAGGGGCTTATCTTACTTAATTTGAAGCTTCCTAATAGTACTTTATAGTCCTACAGTATAAATTAACTATCTTTTGAAATAGAATACTAATATCATCAGAATGCTATAATGTCTTACACCAATTTTCTTCTTTCGGAAGGATTTATCATAAAGTGCAATGAGGTATGAAACATTCTGTTTCAACAACAATTCTAAAATGGAACAGTATTTAGGTTTCTACCTACGCGACTACTTCACATCTTTTCAAGGAAAGAAGATTAATATAACATACAATAACGTTTTGATAAATGGTGTTGAGATTAAGCGATTGATTTTACAAAAATGTTTACTTTGACACCTTGTCAGTCCACCGTTCTGAAAGATACTAATTTCATATTTTTTGCGTGTAAAATACACTCTCACATGACCCCCATTCCATTCAAAAAATGTCCCAAGACGGCACCTAAATTTCGAAATTTTTAACTGTGAATTTAAACTATAGTATCCATGCATCAATTTCAACTACTTGAAATTCAGCTCGGTAATTTGACCCATTAAAAATAAGTAGAGGGGAACTCTTTTATGGAGTTTCATAATTTTGTTATCCATAATAGTGATACAACACCTAAGAAATGTACAGAGAAATATATGGCAAAATTTAAAAACCGCATTCCCTGCAAAATTATGTACATTAAATTGACCAATAATAAGATAGAAACAAATGCATAGAATAATTTAAAATATATACCCCCCCAAAAAAATATAGCATGCTTATCCGAAGCGGATCGAAATCTGGAAAAAGATGAAAATCAACCCATTCCATCAATCTGTTTATGGTTCTTAAAGTGCATAATAAGTTTAAAAGAAAAAATGAAACTTTTGTCCCCAAATAATCATTAAAATGTTTGGAGAAACAGTCTTTGCGCGTTATTAGTGACAAGAAGAATAATTAAAAAATGACTAACAATTTTTGTTCCCCCTCAAATGTTTAGGAGCCTTAGAAATGTTCAACCCCCGCCCCCGGCCCCTCAAAGCTTTCCTGACTACAACCAAAAAAAGCGTTTGCGCGTAACTCTGCCGCCACTGGATTATTTTTCAAAACCCATACAGGCAGACAGACGATGAAAATTAGTGACATAGGTTTTTATGATGTACACGTTTTGCTACGACCAAAAGTCATAATATCTCGATTTCGATTTAGCGATTTCAATACTTTCTGGGCAGTTGGCTCGGGAGTAAAAGCAACCGACTGTATGGCTGTTTCATACAACTCTTAAAAAGTATATGCAGATAGGTGCTTTGAATGCAAAGACGTAACAGTAAACTGCTTTTCTATAGATAACTGCTCATCGTGTTTCCGAAAACAAACCACGTAGCATCAAAACTATGAAACAAAAATACATAAACGTGAGAAGATCTTTGAGTGTCTCTAATGTCCATAAAATATTCAATTCTATATAGATGTAGATACGTAAACAACTTAATGTATTAATGATATACTAGGGATGCTTAGCTCGATTTTGAATGCAGGAATTCAAAATGCTACTAACCGAATTCGAACAAAGGAGCTTCAGTAGCGAATGGCTTTACGTCAGTAGCTACATTGGTAAAGCCCGTTTAGTCTTAACATATTCCCAAAAGACTCACATGAATACTAAAGCTGACTGATTGAGGTAATTTTCTTGTCGATCCCACATTCGAGGTATTCATTTTGAAGTCAGTTGAATCCTACCTTGATTTGATCCGGAGATATTTAAGCAAGAAGCCAGTCCAAATTTAAAGGAACAAAAATATAGGAAAACAGCTACGTGGACCTTCTGAAAAATTGTTTAATGTCAAATAGCATGATTAGTATCGTATGTTCACTCTTGTTATGTACTAAGTGACATATGGAATGCTCAGTAATAATAAATTTATTACAAATATTTTACAGATATATGTATGTTTGTTTAGGTTAGGCCGAAAACAATCTACTTTTCAATCATATCTATAAAGCGGTTTTTGTGATATCGTCTGTTCTTACAAAAAGTAAGTGAACGATAGTTGAATTTATGAAGAGCTGCCTTAATCTGTTCATTATACCTGGAGTGAGACGTCGAGAAAATGTCCAACAGCTTTGATAGGGGGCGAACATATGGGCGTACACGAAGAGTTAGAGGTACAGAGGTAGAGAATGGCTAAACTGGGACCTCGATTGGGATTCCATTGTCTTTAGTGATGAATCCAGATTCTGTTTGAGGATCCATGATGGCCGTACAAGGGTGAAAAGGTGAAGAGGTGAAAGACGAGATTCTCAATTTTCTATGGAAATGCATGTGCACCACACTTTTGGAATTATGGTATTAGGGGCTATTGCTTATTGAAGCAGGTCACCTTTGGTGTTCATCTGAGATAATATCACCGCCGTACGTTACATTCGGGAGGTGACGGAACAACAGAACAACATTAAACACGTCTTGGACATTACGGGAAGAATATTACTCCATCTATCCTGTCCTCCACTGACTCAGGGCACTTCATCTGGTTAGGAGAGTGCCCCCAGACGTGCAGAAGCCATCGTGGAGATCCAACAATATATCAGTTTTTTACATTTTTTCAAAGGTTGGATTTTTCTGGAATCCGTATCAATTATTGAACTAAGAGACGTGTCCTTTTCTGTCACTTAGTACAGAACAGTCATAGACCCATAATCTAAATATTGAAGCAAGAAAATGGTACCAATTTTGCTGTGTCTTGGTGTAAACATTACCTTCCTAGATCTGAATCGTGAGACATAACTCACCACCCTGCTCTTTAGTTGTCACAAAGGCATTTGACCCAGTGTTGCCGAACCTACTGATCTTTCGATATTTCTACCGAAATGAGTCGTTTTATCTACATCTAAATACCATACCCACGACTTTTTTAAATGATCCGGATATTCCCAGATTTTCTACCGAAATAGAGCTAAAACCAAAAATAAAGCTAAAAAAATGAATTCTATGTAGTTCTAAACCCCAACCGTAGAAGTAAGGAAACCAAATCTCGTCTGTATTGAATTGAATATTAAATCAAGATGGTGGTGACGCTTAAAGTTCGGGGATTGTATTAACTATGTCCCGATAGTAATTACAAACAGGTTTAAATTTTGAGACTTACTCGTGTGATGTCTTCCGCCAAACAGCCGGCCTCGTGAAGTGTAGAGAGGAAAGAGAAGGAGGGAAAATAGGGAAATCAAATATAGATAGATAGAGAAAAGGAAGGAAAACAGGGAAATCTAAGATAGATCCTACAAACTAACTGCCCGGGATTGTCCTAACATCACAATACTTCAAGGTACTCTATATTCAACCGCTTAGGCTTGTCAATATCGGATTCACCCGAAAATTAAGAAAAAAAAACGCCATAGTTCTTATACACCTACAAAGTCCGATAGTTGTAATTATTTCGCTATTCTGATTTATCCGCTCGCGCGGACCCAGTGCGCGTTCGACAGGTGCCCATAGCTATATCCCGAAAACAGAGAAAACATATCAAACCGTTACCTACCAAAATTCCCACTGGTTGCATTTTCCTGTAATATTCTGGTTGCATCTTGCATGTGTTTCCACAACTTTTCGCTTTCCAATCAACACGCCAATCCTAAAGAACCTAGAGGCATAAAATTTGTAATTTAAATTTTAATCGTCAAGAGGATAAGTTAGTAGACTGTTGCTTACGCAATGTCTGACCTGAAAAACAAATTAGTCTTTAGGTAGTATGCCTGTATTTATGTTTTTATTAGCTTGTTAGTAAACAAGACACTGGCTCACTAATGAAGGGAACTTTTTGAGCGGAAACCGGCAATATAAGAACAATTTTTATTCGGTTACCGATATTATGAGATGTAAGTGAATTTCTGTATAACAGTAGTTGGAAAAACATCACCAATTTTTATAAGGCAGAATGTACATAACACAAAAACTTCGTGAGCCTAGGTTTTGAAATTTGCTAGTGTTGGAGATGGCATGATATTTATTACATATGTACGGTTTACGAAAATCAAAAGTTCCCCAAAAGTTAACTGATAGTAAACTACTCGGGGTCTTGTAAAACAAGGTTCTGGCTTAGTTCTAGGTAGTTTGTGACCTCAAAAATTATACTTTTTAACAGTGTTTTTAAGCATTGAATATACCCATTTTTAGGAGTTTTCAAGCATTAAATCGCATATATCTCGAAACGGGTCAACTTTAGACAGAAATTACTTTCAGCATTTCTTGTTCTGAATGATAACAAAACATGAAAAAAATTCTACGTGCAAAAAAAAACATTTCTTTGACCAAAAAATTGCTTAAAAATGTTAATCCGGGTTACCAAGTGGCTACCTCTTGTTTACTGTTCATCAAACGTTATTATGAAAAAAAAATCGTGTTGAAAAACTTCTCTGGCGAATGCAAAAATGGTCACTGCATATCAAAAAGTATAAATGAATATTTAACCAAAACGTCAAGATGAAATTTTAATTATGAAACATTGTAGAGTAGAAAAAGTGGAAGTGATAGTATACTTAGCTGTTTTGAAATCTAATCTCAAATAAAGCCAGGAAAAAATAAAAACGATTTTGTAAAAATTCGGTTTCTTTCGCTCTAGTCTAATCATATTAGCAAATTTTCCCGAAATCATTGTAAAATCTAGTTTTATTCATACAAGTTATTCAACGGGATATTTAAAACATAGTCGCATGAAATGGGTACACCAATTTTTGTGGGAAAACTTTTTATTCGACAACAAAGAATGAGAACCGTATTTTTTAGAATTCAATCGAAAGTGTTGTCAGGAACAAAAAGCTTTCCAAATAAGACTTTTAGGTATTTCTGAGACCTACAGAATGAGACCAGCTACTTGAAATTCTTCAAATCTATAGGCCTCATAATTCTAAATAACCACAATAAAATTGGAGTCGATTGGTCAAGTAGCTTTTGAGAATTTCTAATTGTTTATCCCAAAACCCCTGACTTCTGGACATCACTACTAGTTTACTGAGCAATATACGGGGTTCGTTCAAAGGGCATTTTATAGCGAAATCCGCGAGTTTACTTTGCCGTCATGAATCATAAACCATTCCGAAAGATAATTGTTATTTTTATGCGAAAAATGAAAGGGATAAACAATTAGAAATTCTCAAAAACTACTCGACCAATCGATTCCTATTTTGTTGTCGTTATTAAGAGCTGTGAAGCCTACGAATTCGGAGAATTTCAAGTATCTGCGTGAAACTGTCGTCGCATTACCAACAAATGCGGAAACCTGCATCTTGCCTCGGTTTTCGGCCATAACTTTTTTACTATTAGTCGGATCTTTTTACATGTGGCCTCATTCTGTGGGTCTCATAAATACCTAAAAGTCTTACTTGAAGAGTTTTTTTGTTCCGGCCAACACTTCCGATTAAGTTCCAAAAAAACACGTTTTCTCAATCTTTGTTGTCGAATAAAAAGTTTTCCCACAAAATTGGTGTACCCATTTTATTCGTCCATGATTTAAATACCCCCTTGAACAACTTGCATCATTAAAACCAGACTACAATTATTTCGCTAATATGATTAGACTACTCCTGAAATACTTGGATTTGCGAAACTTTCTATGCGCTATATTCTTAGTTAGCTAAGTGCTCAAGCTTGTACCTATTTCACCGACTTCCTATCTCTTTCCGTTTCCAATATCCAAATATTAAGAGTCAAGTTTGGAACACATAATTTCTTCTATATTGATTGTTGTTTTTTAGTCTGCTACCAGTTGCGCCAAAATATTGTTTAGAATTTACTAGTGTACCGCATTAGTAGCTCGGACCTCTGTCGCAAGTTTCCAATCGCATCAAAAGTTCATTATTAAAAACCCGCCAACCATCTTTTCAGCCAGGTTTTTGCAGACAACCCTATAACATCGTGTTCACCATAAAAGGGCGCTTATTTTGATATAAGACTTCTTTACTAAACAATTAGGTGAAAATAATTAATATCAACATACCCTTTTATACATACCAACTCAGTAGTTAAAATAGTCAGCCCAACGTTTGCATAATGTTTAATAAAAAGCCATTTTTCATTTATTAATTAACCATAGTCTCGCCAAGAATTTTAGGCAGCCCACTTGCGATATATACACACACATACTAATTTCATCCATTAAACAGATGGGCAAAAATCTAACTCGGATCTTCTACTATTACTTTTCTTGCACGAATTAAAGTATTAGAATGTCTACACCCCATCCAATTCTGGTTGAAAAAAGATATGCGTTTGTTTTTATATATGTTTTTAAGGTTTGGATTTATAGTTATCCGCTTTTTACATATATTTTGTCTTTATCGTAAATATAGTATCTACATTCTGCATCTCCATAAAGCGGCGTTTGGTTTGCATCATAGGCGCTTTTTGTGTTATTATCGAACCTCTTTCCTAAAAGGTTTTTATTTTAGCAAATTAGTAGTCCTTCTATTTTGTTGGTATCAGTTGATTTGCTGATCTTCTCTGATGTGTGGCCTTACAGCAACTGTTTTGTGAGGTCTCAAATAACTACTTGACTTGATTTCCAAGCTACTTGGCTTGACTTGAAATCAAGTGTAGCTCCAGTCTAGTATTGGATATTAGTGATGTAAGACAAGTAGTTTTTGCGCGAAGTACTTGAAAATTCAAGTAGTTTCGATACTACTTGATAATTTTTCCAATACAGATACGAGTAGATAAAACCGCTGATCGTGTCAAGCAAGTTCGCAAGCACACAAGACCGCGGCTCGCACTGTGATCAAAATCAAATCGTGCAATTCTAGATCTAACCAAAATTAGGATTTTTGCCACACACAAATTCCTAAATTAATTTTTGGATTAATTTAAAATAACCGAATACCAGTTAACAATAGCAGGCATCCCTACTACTACTATTCGTCATTATTCGTCAGAGCGGTCCGGTGGACCTTTGCTCTTAGTTAAAAGTCTCGTCAGTCTGTTAGTCTGTCAGGTCTGGCTACCCAGATACCAAACATGTTTAAGGAAAAAAGGAAAAGAAAGGAAGGAAGAAATAGAGCAAAGAAAAGAAGTAAATCATTTGAAATAGCTTAGGCATTATTGCTTTGACTACTCGAATTATTTTGTAACTCCAAAAAATAATTTTGATCGGTTTTGTATACTGAAATAATTTTGGCTGGTCTCAATTTACAATTTAATTTGATCACAGTGCGAGGCGCGGCCCGTAATGTTTGCGAACTTGCACGACTGTGTAGTCTACTGAATCACGCAACAGAGGTTTGCTGTGCGACTCCGCTTGATTATAACTCCGCTGCGCCTGTTGCTTTACGTAATCCCTTAGATATGGGATATCACGATCTCTGTGAATAGTCTCATTTGGCACGTACCAAGGAGCGTTAGTAATTGTGCGTAGGGTTCTTTTTGCAGGACTTGCACTCTCTGGATGTGCGTCTTGGAAAGAAAACACCAAGCCGCGCATGCGTAGGTGATTGCGGGTCTTATGACCCTTTTATACAACCGAATCTTGTTGATCAAACTTAATTTTGAATTTCTGCACAACAAAGGATAAAGCTGCCGAAAGGTAATTTGGAATTTTGTTTTCAAAATATCAGTATGTTTCTGCCAGGTCAACCCCTTGTCAATGATGACTCCAAGATACCTGACAGATTGCTCCCATGGTATACGAGTTCCATTCACTGATATCTCTGAGGGGGCACCGCAACGTTTTTTAGTACAATAGATTGCCTGCGTTTTCGAAGTATTAATTTTGATCAACCACCGATCCGCCCACTCCAATACTTCCTCCAACGCACCAGGTTACCAGAACAGGACTAGGCTAGCAATGCAGTGTCGTCAGCATAGAGATAGACTTCATATTTGCTGGAGCAAGGGACGTCATGTATATAAAGTGAATAAAGGATTGGTCCTAAGACCGAACCCTGAGGAACACCGGCTGTTGTTGTTGACAACACATTGTTAATTTTGATCCGAAACAGTTTTAGTAGCCAAAATGGAAAACCGTTTTGGATGAGCTTAGACAAGAGGCTCATGTGCCACACCTTGTCAAATGCCTTTGATACATCTGAAAGCAAGATACCAGTACTTTTGTTCGGGGTGAACCCCTGGTTACATGCTCCACCAGTCTAAGTGCCTGTAGTTCCGTACTATACTCAGACCGAAAGCCGAATTGCACGTCAGGAATCACATGGTGATCTGACGAGAAATTCTCAACGTGACGATAAATCACCTTTTCAGCGGGCTTAGAAGGAGCTGACAGCAGACTAATGGGACGGTAATCCTGGGGAATATCGAACCTGCCTTCTTTGGGATCATGATGACTTCAGCGACCTTCCACGCCTTAGGAAAGTAATGAGTTCTGAGCATTGCATTGATTATTGCCACCAGATAAGTTAAAGCCTTGAGTGAAAGCAACTTCAGTGCTTTGTTGGTGATTTGATCCGCTCCAGGTGCTTCACGCACTTTTAGGTCCTTAATGTGGGAACAGGCATCCCTTTAACCGGCGCACTTCAAACTCTTTGCTCTTCCCCCTCCTTCCTATCTTTCTTCTTCCTTTCTTTCTCCCTGACTTCGTCTGGTATCTCGGCAACCAGACCTGACAGAGCTACTGACCTACGATACTTTAACAAAGAGCGAAGGTCCCACGGACCGCTGTGACGGACAATGACGAATAGTATAGAAGCCCTGTTTGTACAGCTGTCACCAACCTGTCAGTGATCGTGTCCAAGATCCCGCCCCAGAAATTCCGTTCATTCTGTCACCAACAAGTCACCGATCACTGTACGAACAAACCGCATAGATCTATAGAAACGCAACAGAAAGAGTTTGTGACAAGTTACAGAGAAAACCCTATTGAACAAAATATTTTGTTCGTTCTATTACAAATAAGAAAAGATAGAACTGTCAATTCAAAAAAGAAAAATTCTGAATTAGCTTTTCATTCGTTAATCACGATTTATGACATATGAGGATCCTAACGAATTTATCGCTTAATCTGTTTCGTGGTTTCGTAATCGTCAGTGCGGCCTTAGAAAATTCCCATTCAATGAACGCTGATGTTGCAGGTGTCGATAAAAACTCTCATGCCATTAAAACTAGATTTGGGAATGGATTTTTATGTCTTTTCCACCAGTCGTGATTATTTGCATTAAAATAGAAAACTCATCCGTTGTACAAATAAGTATCACTAAAGGCATTTATTTGAACAAAAATATAATTTGCCATCAAGTATCAAGTAATTTTAAAATGCTTGACCTCAACTCATGTAGAACAATAAAAAAATCAAGTATTAACGTTTTAAGTGATTTTATGTTCGAGTCAAGTAGTTTCTATAACTGAATCCTTAGTTGCACGCTACTGGTCAATATTTGCCCAACAAACGGCTACTGTCCTTGTCCATGAGGCTACATATTTCATAACTCGACTTCTTTCAACCATCAGGGTTGACGAACGAATCACAAAAAGCGAAAGAAAAGAAAGATAATAAAAGGAGCTGATTGTAGACACATGTTTCAAAGTGGCTAATAAGGAGTACAAGTACTAAATGGCGCATGTGTTTTTTGTTATAGGCTCATGTGGTATCGGCGTTCGAGCAGAGTCTGACGTCTATGACCCAGAGGCTGCAACATCTTACCGCTACTTCAGAAAAAAAGGTAATGCATCTCCAACATTACGTCTACACAAATCAACACTGTTTCTTATCTGTTAATAACCGGAAATGAGTGCTCGTTAGGAATTTGGAGAAAATATACAGTGCGTAACTATTGTCAAAAAAATTGTAGGTTCATTACGAAGGAATATAAAAAATAGTTCTGGACAGAAATGCCCGTTTCCAGGATAGGGGGATTTTTAAACTCGTATATTTAGTGAAAAATTGTGAGACACCATTTTTTTGCAAAACCTACTATTTCAGCGCTGTTTTATTTCGATAGACCGTAGCTCCTAGACAGAATATAGTTACGATACTTTCCTTCGCAGTCCCAGAGACGAGCGACCAAGCCTAGATCATGCTGATGAGTGGCCAAGAAGCACGAAACAACTGTCCATTGTTGGCTGTCTATTGGTCAGACGGTCGATCGGACGAAAGCATCAAGTTTAGTTTTTTCAATGGCAAGTAGACCACATCTACTATACTGCCATCTAGCGGTCACCTGGAACATATGCTATTAAAATGGTAGCTATGCGCTCTCCGCAGTGGTCGATTCTGGTAATAGATGGCACCTTGCGCTGTCTTATTTCGATATGTCTCGTCATTCAAGTTTTCAGGGCAAATGTACGAGAAAATATGATATATGTCTAATAAGTCCGTAGAACTACCGGAGTTGGAAACGTATATATATCACCACCAAAAATTGACATATACCCTTTCCCACCCCCGACAACTCTCAACCCCAATTTTTTGCCCTTGTAAATTTTTTTCTGAAAGTGATCAGGATCCTATGAAATGTCAAAAAACGATTTTTTGCAGCATAGCAATAATCTTTTGTGAATATTTCATCAAAATCCGAGCGGTCTTATAAGAATGGCACGACGTATCTTTTGTTCTACAAGAATCTAGTATTGGCATTTGTTTTTATTAAATACGAGTAGGTATTTCAATCCTGCTGTCCTAATAGCTTCATTTTTTGCATTTGAAGAAGCAATCCGTAAATGGACCTTATCTTAATAGTCTAATCATATCTTTCCTCGAAATAATTGTGAAGTCTGGTTTTATTGATGCAAGTTGCTCAAGGGGGTATTTAAAATATGGAAGCATGGGGTACACCAATTTTTGTGAGAAAACTTTTTATTCAACAACAAAGAATGAGAAAACGTGTCTTTTGGGATTCAATCGAGTGTTGACGCGAACGAAAAAACTTTTCATTTAAGATTTTTAGGTATTTATGAGACCTACAAAATGAGAGTGCACGTAAAAAGATCCGACTAATAGCAAAAATGTTATTGACGAAAAACGAGGCAAAATGCAGGTTTTGACACTTGTTGGTAATGCAACAATAGTTTTCCGCAACTACAAATTCTTCAAATCCGTATGATTCATACTAAATAAGAACCACGAAATTATATTGGTCAAGTAGTTTTTGAGAGTCGCTAACTGTTTATCCCAAAACACCTGTTTTCTGACCACCACTACTAGTTTATTGAGCAATATACAGGGTTCGTTCAAAGAGCATTTAATGGCAAAATCACAAACGATTCCGAAAGATAAATGTTAAATTTTCATGCAAAATACAAAGATTGCGTGTTTTTCTTCTAAACAAATTCAAACATTTCGTATTTGTCAGTAATTGAGCAAATGCGCTACGATATTCAAAAAACATACGCTCTATTATACGCATTTTTAAACAAAGCGGATATGTCTATCATCTTTTGTTGCGAATTACTCACAAATACGAAATGTTTGAATTTGTTTAGAACAAAAATCGTAACCCATCCGTTTTTGCATAAAAATAACATTTATCTTCCGGAATTGTTTGCGATTCATATCGACAAGGTAAACTAGTGTATTTTGCTATAAAATGCCCTTTGAACTAACCTAGAAAACAGGTGTTTTGGGATAAATAATTAAAAATTCTCAAAAACTACTTGACCAATCTACTCCAATTTTGTTGTGGTTATTCAGAAGCACGAATCCTATGAATTTCAAGTATCGGCGAGAAACCATCGTCGCATTACCAACAAGTACCAAAACCTGCATTTTGCCTCGTTTTTCGGCCATAGCTTCATTGCTATTAGTCGGATCTTTTCACGTGTAGTCTCATTCTGTAGGTCTCATAAATACCTAAAAATCTTATCTGGCGAGGGTTTTCGTTCCTGCCAACACTTTCGATTGAATCCCAAAAACACGTTCTCTCATTCTTTGTTGTCAAATAAAAAGTTTTCTCACAAAAATTGGTGTACCCATTTTATGTGCCCATGTTTTAAATACCCCCTCGAAAAACTTGCAGCAATAAAACCAGACTTTACAATTATTTCGCAAACCAGAGGTATTTTCGTCTAATATGATTAGACTATAAGCTTAATAACTTCTTGCATCGACATTTCAAGCATCGTTGCTGTTGCTCTACTTGTCATTCTATCATTTTTCTGTCATTATCACTATGGAAAATGTCAGAAATAGCCACCGAGGAACCTGATACTCACACATTTTCTACTCCCCAACAGGATGCCGAGCTGCAGGAGCTTCGTCAAGCGATGGATTCCCTAAGAGCTCAGTCGCTCCAGGCGGGTATCGGAAGGGACTCCGGAAGCAACGGAAGCAGCTTGGCCAGACAACCCTCATCGGACAGCGTGTCCAGTTTATCTTCGGCGTGCAGTATCGACAAACAGCATGATAAGAAGAAAAAGAAAGGATGGTTGAGGAGTTCGTTTACGAAGGCGTTTTCTAGGAATGCTAAGGTTAGTTTTCTTCGATATAATTTATTCAGTTGTATTTCCTGTTCGACGTTAGAACTACTACTAGTGCATATTGTTTGATAGATATATTTACTCGTAGGACTTTTACGTAAAAAATCTGAAAAACTTCCAAAAAAAAAAACGACAAAATGTCAACTTGCTGCAAGTTAGTTTCCCATCATGCTTTGTTGGTTGCAGAATGCCGTGATAATCTGCAGGGTATACCCTGAAATGTGTGGTTGAGTAGCAGATTAGCAAGATCACATCTGGATGATTGTGTGTATTGGTATGCAGGTATATAAAATCAGTGATATTTGCTATGTGAGAAAACTATTACTGAATATGCTGCCCAGCTGTGCTAGACGGATTATTTGTGTTATCCTGTCTGAAAGAGGTTATGTTTAAAGTTATACATTACGATTTTTCCCAGTTTTTTTTTGCGTTTTCATAAACTTTGAAGATCATGACGTTTGGGCAATACGTACAACTATGGAACGAGTATACAACGAGTGTGCAGCAGTTAGTGCTATAATATAATGTCAAAAAATCGACATGATGTCAATTTTCAAGATACGTGATACCTCTGTCGCTACTTGTAATAAATGAGTGCGTAGATTTTTTACGCGTGATAGTGTCGGTCTTTGCTTTGTACGCAATTGAATCAGAGTAAATGCTACCAACCGACGAAATATAGAAAATAGAACCACCAATATGAAACCTTAAAGTTGCACACCTACCGTGAAGTGAACCGCAAAGACATTGTCATTTGCACGCAACAAACGTCAGATGCCGCTTCGGTTCGCATGTCTCCAGTACGCAGTCTCTCGTCTGATTATGTGTAAAGAAACCCAACCTCAGTGTTTCGCTCCTCTTCTCGTCGTTCCCTTGCCCCTCAATGTGGAGCAACGTGTTGATAGTCTTATTTTTCTCGGTCAAGGATTGATATGGAACATTGGAACAATCCGTCGTCTTTCTCGAAGGTTAAGAAGAAATACAAAAATGTCAAACTACAACCATGTTTCTTACGGCGCATGCCCATTTATCGGAGGTAGGGGATTTTGTGTCGCGGCAAAATGTCAATCAACAATGCTCGTCAATGAAGGCAGACTTTACGTGTTTCATTTACATGGTAACAACCCTTGAGAGTTGGCCTAATTGGCGAAGGTTAGCTTGGCTAATCTTGCATTCAACAAAAAAGAAGTCGCAACGTAGGTATTTCTTATCATAATAACTTACATAATATCAAAAGAATTTTGAATAGTTTTTCCTAAATAATAGAGTAATAGATAATAGAGTATATAGGAGGGATGAGATATTAAGAGAACAGCGATGTATAAAATGATATAATACTATGTGATGCTGTATTCAGTTGAATTATGAGACATGAATGATTTAATTTTTTGGCGAAAATCTAATAAAGAATATTATTTGTAGGATTGTGGTATTAAATTGTAAATGATGGAAGCATTAGATGAGAAACCACATTTGCGCGAACTGCGGTGTCACAATAGATAGATACATAGATAGGTATGCTTTATTGTCTGAAGAATACAATTATTCTTAATGGCAAAGTTAACTTAGAACTGAAATATAACATAATTACATATGTACGTGGATCTTGTGTAGGTGAATTGTAAAACTCACACAAGCTATAATATAGTTCACATATTAAAACGTTTTCAAGTTCACAGCGGAATATATTTCAATCATAATTCCTTTGATAGCATCAGGAAGTCAGATGGAAATTTTCATACCATTATAAATTATTGAGTCTTTCACAAGACTAAGTACTACTAATTTATGATCTTATTTTCGTCTAATATTGTAACTTATATTTAATGTTTCAAATTTAGATTTATTTAAAGAAAATAAGAGTCGCTGTTTCTAAAATGAACAATGATACGACAGTCATAATTTTGAGATTAACAAATAAAGACCTGGAAGTAGCTCTAGGATTGCTTTTAGTTTATATATATATATAAATCGAAAATGATCGTGCGGAGAAAGGTATATAACAAAAAATAGGAAACTAATGGGCAAAATCCGCAAAAAGAAGGAAAGTTTATTCGAGCAGAAAATAGGATAGTTAACCCGAGCTTGTTGGCTTCATCAGGCCCGAAATGAATGCATATATGCAACCACAAAAGTAGATTCACGTGCCAATACATCCGGATACGGGAGTAATCTGAGGAAACGAAGTTGGAGAGGGAAAATATGACACAGGAAGTCCACAACAAGAGCCACACATTGTAGTATATAATGGCTAGAACACCTCGAATTTTCAAGGCGACATGTAACCACAACCACGCGGCCGGTTATGGCTACTTGCTGTGGTACTTCAAGCCCAAAGGATCTATCAAGAGAAAATGATCATGCGGAGAAAGGTATATAACAAGAAATAGGAAAATAAATGGGCAAAATCCGCAAAAAGAAGGAACGTGGATTCGAGCAGAAAATAATGATTGGTAACACAAACGATACGAATTTCTGCTGGTTGACTTCATTTAGTTGCATTGTCTAAAGAAGGAAAATATTAAATATCACAATATTTTAATATAGATAATACTGAGGCCTCTCTTAGTCTTTTGGCGTAGTTTAAAGTTAAGCAAGTACCTGTTTGCTATCAAGGTACAGAGCTTTAGATAAGTTCTTGGAGTTAAATTTTTGACTTGCTCAATGAATGTCAATTTTATATCGAAACCAACCCCAAGAACTTTCAAGAACTTTTGCGGAATCCTGGAACTGTAACTGTTGATTATTTATTGAATTTTCATCTGAAAGGTTATGTTATGCCTTTTTCTTTTAGCACAAGGCAGAATTCTTTATTTTTCTTAATGAATCTTTAAATTGTGCTTGACAGACAATTGTATTAGGTTGTCAACTTTGAATGAATGCAGTGATTGACTGACATTAACGCGCGCCTAAATCGCTTCTCTTCTCAATAGGCGTGCACCTTTATATGTCTGTTCGCCCTGCTTTAATAAATTATTATTCGTTCTTATACATAGGCTATAGGCTTTTATTTGAACATTTTTTGAATCTTTATTGGTCATTCATTACCGTTGTAGTAATAATATGTTCTAAAGACTTCCTTAAATGCATTTCGTCAGAGTTGTTTGTGAGAGTAACTGCCTTGTATTCAATTAAAGGTAGTGGATGTTGTAAACTTTAAATATACCTATCACGTAGCTTGCGTGCGTATTTTCTACATTCAATCGTCATTTTTGACTTGCACTTGTATAATACAATGAATTTCGAGTTTCTTCACACATGAACAGTAACTGTATTAGAAAATTCATCTTCTGATGAAATCGATGTGACAAAACATATCGCCACTGAATCGTCAACTGTATTTGAAAAAGACCACAGTGGTGGTCGAAACGTTGTACAATAAGCTCAAATTATACATATATGTTGTTTGATTCGGCCAGACAGAGTCCTATAACGTATGCAATTTGCTTACAGGTGACGAAAGTTCAATGTCAACAACATCCCACCTCTGAAGGAGGATGCACGGACAGTGAACGAGGACACAGCCCTCCACCACCTCCAGCTCCAACGGACGCAGGTCGTGAGGTCGCCGAATTGCAGAAAACAGTTGAGAGAAAAAGACCTCGTCCTCACAGATATTAGGCTCGAAGCACTCAGCTCGGCACACCAGCTCGAAAGTCTCAAGGACACTGTTATGAAAATGAGGGTTAGTAGAGACGTATTTCTGGTAAACCACATTTGGAATTCCGTAACCTATGCATATCATTTTTATTGTGGAATTTTGTAAAAATAATGTATTAATCTATCAATATAATCGGAGAGAGATACGTTCGGAAATGGACTATTTTCCGCCCATAAATAATTTCTAATTTCTGACGTTCATACCCAAAGCTATCACGTACTATCTGGAGTCCTGCTCCTCCCCCTGGATGTTTCGACATGCGAATGCTATTTGGGATTCACTGTGTGGTGCTGAAATCCTAAGGCGAAATGTCCAACGATCAGTACTTACTGTGGTCCAATCATCAAGATTGGGTTTGTAAATTACTCCGTAATGTAATACCGTACACAATAATGATTCGTTTACTTATTTTTCTTCAATCCATTTTCTGTAATTTTGCATTCTTGTCTATTTGAATTACGTCACTATGTATTTTGATTATTCCTAAAATGATTTTTTAATTTCACCTTAAACATTTTAAATTCGAACTCTGTTCAATATCATTATTCAATTTATTAAATTCAAATACTCCCTTTTGAAATATAGATTTATTAGTTATGCTATTATTACAATTTTGCATATGAAAATCTATACTGCCTCTAGTTTCGTACTTATGATAATGACTATTTAATTTTGAGAAGTTTTCAAAATGTGTTGGAAATAAATAAGTTTTTAATTTGAATATGAAAACGAGAACTAAATAATATATAATATGTTTCACATCCAACCACTGCAGTTCTTCTAACATAGACTTGATCCTGGCATATTTGTTTTTATTTAAAATGATTCTCATAGCTTTATTTTGTTTTCATTTGCTGTAAATAAGATGGTTGAACAATATAAATAGTGAGGAAGAATTATAGTGTTATACACAATTTTTTTGAAATACAAACTAGATCATGGGAAACTCTATAGAAGTTATTTATCTTTTTCGATATTTTTGAAATAATGTATCCATAATGTTCGTGAAACAGTAGCTTACTATCCACTTATACACATATACCAAGATATTTAAATGACTCGACTACTTCAATTTTTCATCATTAACCATGAGCCTAATTGTATTGTTACCTAAATGTTTCCCTATTGACATACATTTTGTTTTATTAATGATTAATTTAAGTTTATTGACATTTTGACCAATAATTCATAAATTTTTCAATATCACTATTTAACAGTTCCAAAGCAGTGTCCAAATGTGTGTGTGCTACATATATATATATATATATATATATATATATATATATATATGATATATCATATCATTTATATAAATAATAAATAGTAATCGCCCCAATCTACTGCCCTGTGGCACCCCTACTGATATATTTTGAACACGTGACATAATATTTACAACTTTAGTTTTTTGATCTCTATTTACTAAATAATTTTGTAAAATGTATAATACTGATCCTTTAAAGCCATAGTGATGCAATTTCATTAACAATTTTTCCCTATTTATAGTCTCAAATGCCCTTTTGAAGTCTAAAAATACTGTTACAATATCTTTCTCATCTGTACTTCTTCTCCAGTCTTCCACCACCATTTGGATTGCTGTTCCTGTAGAAATTTTTTTTCTACATCCAGCTTGATTATTTGTCAGAATTTTTGTTTCTTCGAAGAATTCTATGATTTGTTTGTATATTATCCCTCCGAACAGCTTCTCGACATCGGGCAAGACATTAATCGGTCGCATATTTGTATACAGCTGAGAATTTTGAACTTTTGGCATAGGAGTAATGGTTCAACACTCTAATTTTGATGGGAATTCACCTTGTACTAAACAGTGATTCACCAATAATAATAATTTCTCTCCAATTATATTGAAACAATCACTTAGAATATTTTTTGAGAGATTCTCACTTGGATTTTTATTAGATTTCAATTTTGAGACAGCTTTTCTTATATTGTAATTCTGACATACTTGTAATGAACATAAGTTTGGATCACCGTCATCAATCGTCTTCACTATTTGATTTACACTTTCTATAAAATAAGTGTTCATTCTTTCTGCTTTAATTAATTTGTTTGTCACTATCCCATCTTCGAAACGCATTTTAGATAATTCAGTCTTTCTATTAAGAGAAACAATATTCTTTAATAACTCATTTATTGTAAAAAGCAATGAGCCACGACAATGACAAGTGACAACACTCTTATTTCCAAGGTTTTCTAACAGGTACGTCAAACAATTACGAACGCTGAAATTGTTTCAGGGTGGTATAAAGTAACAATTTATGAACGCAACCCAGTATTCCGTCAGTAGCGCTGGATTTCCACGTGATGTTATACATCAACAATTACTGACATCCATGGTTACACAGTTGATAAACATGGGCTTCCACTTGAGGAGTGAAATATTTTCAATAGGGTACCCGTTTTTTTTTTGTAGACAACAATCGGCGAGTGCGCATTTTTTCCTCAAAACTTTCCTACATAGAATTTTTTCTTGCCGTTTTAAAGGGCTAGGAACTTTGCTTTAAACTAGGTGACTGTGCATGTAAGCTTAACCTGTCCCTCTCTATATGAGCGCCCATGTCAATAAGTGTTTCATTCCATGATTGATTCTGACGGATCACAGTAAATACTGATCACATTAATTCCAAACGCGCTGAAACTTTTTTTTGATATTAACTTAAACACCGTAGGAGCTACCGCAGAGTGTGGCTGCCTCCTAACATTAGTATAATCGATACATGCATTAAATAACAGTGTAATTGACATTTTGACGATTCTCACTTATTGAGTTATTTGGATAGATTGAATTAAACATGTTTTGCCCATTTTTTGAAATCAGTATTGTGTAAGCGAAAATAAGAAAAAAATGCTGTTTAAAAATTATTGCAACTGCATGCGTCAGAAAAATATCGGTTATATCATAAAAAAGATCATTACTGTTATTGAATCTTAATCCCGACATTGTAAAGTATTATACGAATCTATGGAATCTCATGGATTACACTAAAACAACTTTAAAATATTCCTGCACGAAAAAATATTACTCATGACACATCGTAAGGTACTTGACAATGATGTTTGTTTTATTTTAATCCAAAGATACATTTGTGTACAATGTACAATACAGATAAATTCGTGCTCCTTTTTATTATATAAGCAATTCTTATATAATAAACTCTTAAAAAAGTTATGTCTAGTTTTTATGCATTATGAATGTTTCATTTCCACTATTGTAACATTATATTGCAATGCTGGAAGCTCCGATAAGTAACTTTGCAATGTTCTTTCAAGTCACATGTATCCATAACAGTGCTCGTATCTACCCTTACAATTTGTAAAAACCGCTCACGTACCAAAGAAGAACATTGTACTGTATCTTACCTTGGTTATACAGTTAATTATGCTCATATTGTAATTACGTGCTTTTTGCTTTATTCTATTTTACTCAAATATGCAAAATATTATATTCTTTAATTGATAACCATTCCACATTCCAGTGCCATATATAAAGTATGCCACAATACGATATTAAATGTTGAAAAGTTTGACTGAAGTTTCTAAAAAAATGAAATGGCTCTCCTGAAAAGGTGACATTTATCACTGTTATTAGGTACATGTGTATCGATATCTAGTATTTGAGTACCATATTTATGATAAGGATAATATTTTTTCTCTTTCTGATGTCCAATCGGTCCCTCTGAGGGTAATTCCTGCGGGCGCCCGTGTCTCTATTCTGAATCTTTACTTTGAAACGGAAATTTAATTGGAGTCGTTCATTTGCAAACAACCTAAAATGTCGTTTGGTCCAGTTTTTAGAGATATGGGACATTAAAAAAAAACGAGAAATATTGATATGTTTATTGGTTTCCAGAGTGAAATGCTGAGTCTGAAGCAGAACAACGAACGTCTGCAACGCATGGTAAGCGGCAGTACTGGAATGGTGAATGGCTCCAGCACTGGATCTGCATCTCCGACGCCCAATCTTTCCAGCGACCTGGACGGTAGGCGGAATGGCAGCATAGACGCCCTCTGCGACCTTGTGCCTGCTCTGGAGGAACCTCCCCCAGAAGCTGAAACTGATGGGAGGCGGGTGGCGATATCGGTGTATCTTGGACAACCACAAAGTTTTGACAAGTGAGTGTTTGTGCCCTAATCCATTCAATAATTTATTCATCTGTGCATTCATTCCTTTCTTTCTTTTCCCCTCTTCTTTTAACTAACAATACCTAGTAACTACTTGTCGAGACCTGGAGGTTAATTTTTAAATGAGGAAGTAGAGGAACTGGGCGTGGTCCCTTACATTGCGGAGATCTCTGTTTCCGAACTCAATTAATTAAGTAGACTCCCAAGTCATTCACGGGGAAAGAAGTGTGTAAGTTCCGCCTTAGTCGATCAGTCTCATGTCTTATAAAAGTTACCTTGTGATAAAAAATTAAATGATATGATGAACTTAGAGACAGTGCTGCAGTATAATATGCTTTCATGTATATTTGGTGCTTGTATTTGATGAAACAATTTATTCCAGGTATTATGTGGAACATTACGGGTATGATGGTACAGGTACAGGCTTAGGGGCCGATACCTCTGCGACCACAGAAATATCGATTGCCTATACAACCATTGGAGCAGTCACTTCTTGGGCTCAGTTAGACAATGCTGTCAGGAGAGCCTTCAAACAGTATGTTGCTAGGCTAGATCCAGGTGGGGGTCTAGGGCTAGGAAGCGACGCAATTGGTAAGTTAAGATCTCAATCAAAACGCAGTTTGAGAAAATATGCCTTTACTATCACCATTCATTCCTCCTGTTTAGAACCTTCCTTAATTCCTGCAACATTTTGAGAGATATATACAAATTTTAGATATATGGCAAAGAGCTTAGTATAAAGCAACACATTGAAAAACTAAAGACAATACCTTTTTGTATCGCGTGTGGTTAAAAAAGAAGTATGGTTTAGCCGAGCCCCCAAGATGTTATCTGAACGGACCATTTCGAAAATTTTTAAAATCTTGAGGTTAAGAGAAGTTACATATATAAACAGTGCTGGTTGTCACCAGACTCTCAGTCGATGACTAGCGATATTCAGTAACTGAGCTAAGCCATACTTCAGGTAAAGCTAACTCATAGCAAATAGGAAATACTAAGCTGTCTTGAATCGGAAATACACAATTACCTTATTCTTTTATCGAGGTAGATATTCCATACTACTGTAAAATCTGGTCTTAGACTTTCACGTGTATTTTTTTTCTTTTTCAGCTAGCTACAAGCTTGGAGAGGCAGAGCGGAAACCAGATAGGCAACCTCCAGATCTGCTGCCTGTAGGATATGCCGTGGGAAGAGTGACAACAGTGCATGTTGTATTACAACCTGTTGCTGCATTAGCTTTTGAAGCTCTTATACCCAAAGGAGTCGCTCAAAGGTAGGATCAGTCGTTTCAAAGAGTGTTTATAGTTCCTATGAATTTATTTCTGCTATAACGGGTAACATAATTTTTTTTTTAGGTTAGTGTCGTTGTTAGCAGAACACAGAAGGCTAGTGTTATGCGGAGCACCTGGAACGGGTAAAACCCATCTAGCCACGAGGTTAGCCGAATTCCATGCTCAAAGTCTAGGCAGAGATCCTGCAGAAGCAGTCGCAACTTTTAAGTAAGTGCAAATGGATAAGGACCGTTTTTTAATGGAAAAGCGTCAATCAGATCTGCAATAAACTCATTTAAAGTTCGTCGCTGTAACATAAGTCCACTCGGTGGAAATAGTTTACCAGTTAGTCAAGCATACATTGATATATACAGGGTGTTCCATAATTATTGCGACAAATGGTAGGGGTTGTAGAGGGCATAAAAATATGCAATTTTGCCTTATAAACCCCTGTTCGTAAATATGCCGTTTCAGCACTACCGTTAATTTTACCTTAAGAGCTCATAGGAGAAACAAAAAATTCACCAGCTGTAAAATGTTCGTCTAGCACATTTCATGGTCTCGCCGGTTTGTAAAAAAAGCTTGCTGTGTTTTTATATTTTTGTTATCGTAAATTCTCCACACCGATTCATTTAATTTATCCGAGTGGTGCGTCAAACTAGATAGTAAATAACAGTACCTTAGTGTTAAAATGCAGCGTTATTCGTATGCGGAACTTGCGGATATGCATTTAATTTACGGAGAAGCTGGTGGTAACGGAAGACGAGCCTCGCGAATCTACGCCCAACGGTTTCCAGAACGTTCTCATCGGTATCACGCCATTTTTGCAAGGATTCATGGACGTTTTCGTGTCAGTGGCAGCATCAGACACCTCGCGGGAGCAGGGCGGCCCTTCACGAGGCGCACAGTAGAATTTGAGGAAGCGATTCTGCATCATGTAGAGGCCAATCCGCGTACAAGCGTGCGTGCTATTGCACATGATATGGGAGCGTCTCAAACTACTGTTTGGCGGGTTTTCCATGACCAGCAACTACACCCATACCACCTTTTAAAGTCCAAGCCATGGATCCAGAAGACTATCTGCCGCGTCGACGTTTTTTGTCGTTGGTGGCTGCAGCAGGAGTTGAGGCAACCAAACTTTGGTCGCTACGTTTTGTTCACTGACGAGTCCTGTTTACAAAGGACGGTTATTTTAATAGCCGTAACAGTCACATTTGGGATGAAGAAAACCCTCATGCCATAGCCATCCATAGAGACCAACATCAGTTTTCAATTAACATCTGGTGCGGCATTGTGGACGAGCATATCATCGGGCCATATTTGCGTCCACCACGTTTGGATGGGCATGCTTATGGTCGATTCTTACAGCATGTGCTACCGGAACTATTAGAAAATGTGCCACTGAACATAAGAGCCAACATGTGGTTTCAACACGATGGCGCTCCAGCCCACTTTTCTTCACAAGTGCGGCAGTATTTGGACGACAAATTTCCAAATAGGTGGATAGGGCGAGGTGGCCCTGTGCCTTGGCCTGCGCGGTCACTCGACCAGACCCACTGGATTATTTTCTCTGGGGCCATCTGAAAGCTTTAGTGTACGAAACTCCTGTTCCCAACCAACAAGAGCGACTGGGAAGAGTGATGGCCGCGTACGCACATGTTCAGGACATACCGGGGGTATGCCACAGAGTTCGCCGATCATTGAACAATCGTGCACAGCTGTGTATTGAGCAAGGTGGAGGACACTTTGAGCAATTACTGTAGGTAAGCTGTTTCAAGAAACTGATCTTTTTTTTTTGCTGCAGCCCAAACGGCATATTTCCGAACAGGGGTTTATAAGGCAAAATTGTTCATTTTGATGCCCTCTACAACCCCTATCATTTTGTCGCAATAATTATGGAACACCCTGTATAGCACATAAGCATTTGAACACTGCTTTAGAACTGTTGAATAGTGATACCAAAAAAATTATGAATTGGTTAAATGTCAGTAAACTTAAAATAAATACTAATAAAACAAAATGTATGTCAATAGGGAAACATTTAGATGACAATACAATTAGACTCATGATTAATGATGAAAATATTGAAGTAGTCGAATTATTCACGAGCATTGTGAATACATTATTTCAAAATTATAAAAAAATTACTTCTATAGTTTCCCATAATCCATAATTCCAAAAAATTGTAACACTATAATTCTTCGCCATTTTTTATATTGTTCAACCATCTTGTTTACAGCAAACGAAAACATATTTTCAAAATTACAAATTCTACAAATAATGCTATGAGAATCATTTCCAATAAAAACAAATATGCTAGGATTAGATCTATGTTAGAAGAACTACAGTGGTTGAATGTGAAAATTTCATATATTATTCAGTTCTCGTTTTCATATTCAAATTAAAAAATCATGTATTACCACCACATTTAGAAAACTTCACAAAATTAAATAGTCATTATCATAACTACGAAACCATAGGCAGTATAGATTTTCATTTGTAAAATTGTAATAACTAGTAAATCTATATTTCAAAAGGGGGTATTTGAATTTAATAAATTGAACAATGATATTAAACAGTGTTCGAATTTAAAAATGTTTAAGGTGAAATTAAAAAGTCACTTTATGAATAATCAAAATGCATAGTCATGTAATTTTAAAAGACAAAAATGTAAAATTACAGAAAATGGATTGAGGAAAAATATGTAACCGAATCATCGTAGCATTAATGGTAAATAAATCTTCAATAACAACAATAATACTTGTCAATACATCTTGTCATTTTTTTCAGTGTGGATAACAAATCAGCCAAAGATCTTCGTCAGTACCTGTCACACCTGAGTGAGCAAGCTGCAGCGGGCGGCGAAGCTGCGGATGCTCTGCCGTGTGTTGTAGTTTTAGATGACCTCCATAAAGCTGACTCATTGGCCGAAGCTTTAGGACAGCTTCCTCGCAATCTTCCATGTCTTATAGGTAAGCACATGAAAAATGTGATCACGCGACGTCGGTGTACGTCAAATGACTATGACTATGCAGACGTTAGCGCAAACCATAAAGAGACTAGGGCTGGCAAACGAGCAGAACCTGATGGACTGTAGAAAACTAAAAATGTACTAAGTTCAAGTCAGAATCATATTCTCTACAATTCTTGTTTCAAACATTTTTCCATACAATAAATCGTTTTAGAGATAGGGGGCTGAGAGCGCGCAGCGTTTAGCTATTTATAGCAAAATGCAAATTCAAGCATTATTCCTATAAATACGTATAATACGTGGTATTAGGTCTACAGGTAATGAAGGAATATAAAGTCCTGCATAATTAGCATTTTTTATAACTTTGCTAAAATCACCCTGTAAATGTTACGCCTATAAGAGCTAACTGCTCAAACCCGAAAAAACGATTTTTGTGATCTTTCACCTTTGATATCTTAAGACACGGAGACGAGATTTTCTGAGGCAATTGTCTGATATGACTGAATTATCACGAATGGGAGCATCTTTTTCTACAGTACCTGATTACAAAAACGTTCTGAAGATAAACTATTTTTCACGCTACTTATTTGTCACGTTTGATGTCTATTGATGTAAATAGCTGATCAGCTACTGACTGTACGGTTGACAATAATGAATCTAGTGAAGCTCAAGACGTGTTCAGAACAATTTACACACAACGTGTATATCATTTTATTTTCACATACCGACTTGTAACTTTGCGATTGGTTATAAAAAAGGAAGCATAACAAAAAGACATAAAAAAATACGACTGTGTGTCACTTGACGATATGCGGTGTATGAAATTCCACTAGATAATCAACTGTTATTTGTTTTGTCATAATAGAGAATGGTGAAAAATAGTTTGAAGTTTTAATTATTTATACCATTGCGCATTATCTCAACACTTGATCACTAGTAATCCCTTAGTCCCTTTCGACAACACTTAACTTCGAGGTACACCAGACTAATGGTCCATTAGTCATTGGACACCACTTGAGTTATATAAGCAAAGTTTTCTCATAATGCTTGGGTTACTTAGCCTGTGATCAAGTGGTGAGTCAATGCGTGGCAAAATGCGCAATGCGATTAATAATTGTAATCTTACCCTGCCAAGGAGCTATTTATGATATCAGCTTAAACATCTGTTCACCCTTCATACCCATTTTTTGTAGGTACCATGGCGCAGAGTGCCTGTTCGGCCACCAGTCTCCAGCTTCAACACGGCTTCCGATGGGTACTAGTCGCCCCTCACATGGAACCCGCTCGTGGTCTTCTCGGGCGAGTGCTGAGACGTCGCTTAGCAACACTGGAACTCGAACGGGGTCCTCAACCTGAATTGGCAGCCATTCTAGGGTGGCTGCCCAGAGTGTGGCAACACCTGAATGCATTTCTGGAAACACATAGCAGTGGAGATGTCGCTATTGGACCTCGGCTATTTCTTAGTAAGTAAATCGGTTTTTTAATGACAGTTTTTATCGTACTTTGGCCTCATAGCTCAACATCCTCAAAGATAAGTTTTCCTGCTAAAGAGTATCTATTCATTGCCCTCTTTCCAAAAACGAATTCCAAGTAACTTTGTTTCATAGTAATCTTAGCAATTCTCGTCACAAACCACAGTCTGCTTCCATGATGGACACGTCTTCAGATTGCGACACATGTGATTTCTCGTAAGGTGGTGTAATTTCAGTGGAGTGACAACTAACTTGAATGGCTAAAAACTAGTTGCCATCTATAAACTTGATGCTATGAACTTACAACTAGATGAGCGCTTTACAGATTTCAGCGATAAGTTGCACCGGACTGCACTAGACTGAACTGGACTGCTCTGCACTGCACTGATCTCCACTAAACTGCAGTAAACCGCTCTGCACTACACTAAACTGCACTGCACTACACTGCGCTGCACTACACTTAACTGTACTGAACTGAACAGCACCAGACCGCACCGGGCTGCAATAAACTGAACTGGACGGTACTGCACTGCAATGCACTGGAATGAAGTAGATTGCACTGGACTGCACTGTACTAAATTGCTTTGCCCTGAACTGTACTAAACTGCACCACCCTGCACTGAAATGCACCGGTCAGCACTTGACTGTATAAGACTGAACTAGTCTGCACTGACTGACCTGCACTGCACTGTACTGAACTGAACTGCACTGTACCGGGTTGCACTAGACTGACCTGGACTGCACTGCACTGAAATGCACTGGTTGCAAAGTTCGATATCGCTGTATGACACTCGTAGTGCACACTGCCCTTTTGTTTTTTTCAAACCGAGTGGTAAATAAATGTTTTGTTTACATACGCTGCAGGTGCCTGAGTGGAGAACTAACGGGCGTCGTACCTTCTCACTTTTGATCTGATCGAGATACAGGAGCGGATTAGTTTTGGTTTAGATTTGATCGAGTTTGCGGAATTTAATATCTTGAGACTTTGGTGTACTTGGTACAAAGAAAACCGCTTATTTTTTTTTTAGATCTATACGCCATATAAAGTCCTAACCTTGCGGATACCCTGTATAGATAGATATGTTACTAACTCGTATGTATAATACGAGTACATAATGGACGATTTCATAATAATAAGGTAAACCTGGCCGCGAAGTGTTAAATCATTTTTTACATTTTGCAGGTTGCCCTCTTGAACTAGACGCCGCTAGAGCATGGTTCGCCGACGTGTGGAACTACTCCTTGGCGCCGTACCTGCGCGAGGCTGCGCGTGAAGGCCTTCGACTGTACGGACGCAGAGCCCCGTGGACGGACCCCGCTCGCTTCGTCTTGGAGACATACCCGTGGCCTGGAGCGCCGCCTCATGGGTTGGCCACCATACCCGCAAGGGACGTAGGGCTGCCAGAAGGCGGAACTACGGGGACTAGTACTGGCAGCACTAGTGGTGCTGATGAGGGAGATGGAGATCCTTTGCTCAGCATGCTGATGAGGTGAGTAATTTATTCACCGTATTGACTAAGATTCCAGTGCTGCCAAGACGTAACTTATTTTCTGGAAGACAAAACGTGGAGCACTGAGAAGCATTTATGTATACTTTGAACACCTGTGTACCTGCTAAGTTGGATAGACGATCGATTTGCTGGTACCAGGTGGGACAGTTAAGTAAAATTATAACTAACTTGGATTCTGATGAATGTTTTTCTATATACTCGTAAACATTATTGCAAAGTAATATGATGAGATTCAGCACTTCCCGCCGGCCATAACTTCTGCCAGACGCTTTAAAACAGGATATCTCTATAAATTGGTCCCTCTCTAACGTATTTGTAGATGGTAAAAAAAGTTTCATCTGAAAGTTATAGGAGTTTAATATAAGTTTTTTGTTCTATTTTTTGTGTACAGTATGTCTCAGAAAACATCTATCGAATAAAGTTTACCCTTTTTTTAAACGCATCACTGACATCTTTATACAGAAAGAACATGGCAGGGAAAAATGTGTACTGGACTATAACTTTTGCTAAAACATTTTTTAAGCAGTACAAAAAAGTACTCAATACGTAATAATGTTATACAAAGTGTGTGTTAACCCTACCCTCCCCCCTTACTTAGTTTTTGAACGGGTCAAATTAGCAAGCAAGCTGAAATTTGGGCCAATGAGATTGATGCATGAATACTATATTTCAGCATAATAGACACAATTGAAAATTTCAAGATGGAGTCTAGGCGCAATTTTATAATTTGTTTAATAGAATGGAAGATCGTGTGATACCTTATTTGACGATCCATATGAGTACTTTATAATCCTAAAACATAAAATCAACATCCCTCCAAATGGCAAACTGGGCAGGCTATCAAGGTTGAGCGTTTTTATGCATCGTCACTTATAACTCGACATCCAATCATCAAGAAGCTATAATATGTTTTCTTCTTGGAAAGGCTAATAAGAGTATATAGTAAAATATGAAACATTCCAGTTAAAGAAAATGTAAAATCTGTCATTTCTTAGGCAGAATATAGACAGAATATCTCATTCAGTATAAAAAAAACAGTTAACTTTGACAGCCTGCAAGACCGCCATTTTGAGATATTGATTTTATATTTAAAGGTTATGAAGCACTCGTAGGCCGCCATCTTGACGTTTTCAAACGTCAAATTCATACGTAAATATAATTGCACCATCCCAACTTCAGCTTACTAATTTCACCGTTCAAAAATAAGTACTGGGGACCTTTCTAAAAACCGCTGTACAGATCAGACATCAAAATTTGAGTCCTGTTTTTATTATTTTTTTTCCACATCGCACCGGTGACTCTTCCTTTTTTCTTAACTTAGCTGGTATACAGATATTGAAAGTATATACAGGATCGGATGGGAGAATCATTGAGTCTGGTATTTAATGTAAACAAGCGAATATGGCTGTTAGGACAAGAACGCGAATCAGGCGTCCACAGCCTTGTTGCCCTTGTATATACTCGCTTCATTCACGCTCTCGTTCTAATATACGTGTTTCTCTTTCGATCTCTCATACAAATAAAATACTTGACCGAATGATTTATCAGCCGATCCTGTATGGGTGGCAATAGATTTTTTTAGCGATTTTCAGACATGAGACATAGAAACCTCTCCGCCATGAATCCAACCTCGGTCATTGTTGTTGTATTTTGTCATAGCATGAGCGAATAGATTTCGCTATATCCTCTGCAGTTATCGATAAATTAAAAAGTTTGGTATTTATTGCAGGTTGCAAGAGGCAGCAAACTATTCGAGCCCACATTCGAATGATTCCGACTGTAACAGCATAGATTCCAACGCAACTCATAATTCAAGTAACGTTGGAGCAGAAAGTGTCTCGTAGGCCTAAATATTGTCAAAGAACAATAGCTCCTAACTTGAGATTGTATAATCACAGGTAGTAATGCAAAAACAAAGAAGTCTCATCGAAATATCAATGAATCATGGTAGGAAATGCAACTGGTACATTTACTTATTATATGGGTCCCAACAGAGCGGTTTTTTAACGGCATGATTTCAAGAACTTTAGGTCTACCAAGAGCATTAAAAGAATGGAATATAGATACTCATTTGGTATAACTATAATCATAGAAACACAATATGAAAAGTTAAAATCGTGTCATCAAGTGAAATGTCAACATACAAGTGTCCTGACTGTTATGCGAGATCAAAAATAAAGCATGATGATATTCTGACAAAAAATTGGGTTCATTCAAATCAGGAAGGCTGTTTAACTAATATTGATTGACAGGGGCGGCTGGCCCTTAAGTTCTGCAGAGCTGCAGAACTGCCAAAACTTTTGTCTTAACAGAAAAAAGCAGTAGTAATTTGATCATTATTTATTTTCCATGTTATCACACAAATAGAAACAATACCGGCAATGCTGCCCCCGCAAGACACGGCGTCGAGTCTGTTTTTTACTGAGAAAGCGTTATAATCGACCAATTGTGTACTTGTCACTTTCGTCGCGACCGCAGCGTAACATTATTCATGGGCCACTTGAACAGGGTGTGTGCACTACCTCGACACAAGCCTCACGCGCTTGCTTTTTACAAAATCAAATGCGCGATTTAAGCATAAGCATGTGCTGCAAGTTATACAGATCCGTACGGATCTAATGCGAAGTACTATATCTGATTGGTCGGTGGGTGCTCGGTCCTCGGCGGTATTGGCATATTGGTCTTGTCGCGTGACGTGGCTTAAAATTTTTTTATTTAGGTATTTTGGGTCTTACGTTGAGTGACTAGTGACTCACTGACTGACTGTGGCTGTGTAGAAGGGTGATGCAAGACAATGGATGCGGTTTACATACTTATCAGTGTGAAACGATTCTGGAAATACACATTTGAAGAAAAAATTGGGCTGAAGGTGTTAGGTCGACCGCATGCCGGACATATTTATAGAAACACAGGGCGTTAGTCGGGGCAAGGGCTATACGCGGCATTTCAGCAGATTTACACCAGAAATGACTGGATTTGTGGGTGCAACAAGAAGAATGCCCTTTTCTGCTTTCCTTGCTTACTTTTCGGCGGTGACAAAGCTTGGACGGAGGTAGGTGTTACAGATCTAGTGCACCTGAGTGAAAAAATTAAGAAGCATGAAAACTTTAAATCATATCTTCATAATTCGATGGAATTGCTTTATTGGGGACTGTTAACATCAGAGCTCAATTAGATTCAGCATATTGGAGAAATATACAACAGCATAATGATACCGGTACAAAAAACAGGTACGTTGTATCAAAAATAATCGATTGTATAAAATTTACGTAGCATTTGAACTGGAGCTATGGGGCCACGACGAAACCGAGAGCTCCCAAAACCCGGGAATATTTCTTGGACTGATTAATTTTTCTGCTGAGCTTGATACAACCTTAAGCGAACACTTAATAAATCCTTCAATATTTAAAGGAACTTCGAAAGAAATACAAAACGATCTACTGGATTGTTTTTCATGAAAAAATAATAAAACAGATTAACAGAGCCTCGTATTTGGCGATAATAGCAGACAACGGACATTTCGAAGAAACCCCAACTGGTAACAATTTTCAGATACGTATTTAACGGCGCACCAGTAGAACGTTTTGGAATTATATGAATCCAAAAAATGTGACGCTGATACTCAAGACATATTTTGAGCGTCGTAATCCATTAACAGGAAATTTCTCTAACAAACTGATTTCACAAAGCTATGATGGAGCCGCGGTAATGAGCGGACATAATGCTGGAGTACAGGCAAAATTAAACAAAGATATCCATTTGCTCACTATGTGCATTGCTATGCGCATCAGTTCAACCTGATGCTGCTTCCGCAAATGCTCAAGTTCGGGTGTCCTTTGGGGATTTGAAAGATATTCCGGAATTTTTTTAGTAATTCTTCTCAACGCGTAGAGGTACCGAACAGAATTGTGAGGAAACAATTTCCCAAGGAGCAACAACTCGTTGGAATTTTAATATTCGAACAATAAATGTAGTGTTTGAGAACATAGAATCACTCATTGAATGAATGGAAGAAATAGAAGAAAATATCACTAATAAAACCGTTTGGAAGGCAGCTTGCGGTATTCGCCGTATGTAAACGATTCTGTTTTCGTGTTTTGGCTGACATTTTTTCATCACATCAAGCCTCATGTCGGTATCTTGTTCAACCAGTTGCAAAAGAGAAAAACAGAGCCAGCACAAATTAAAACGGCTATCGATAATTTTGAAAAATGCATTGTCGATATGAGAAATAAAATTGATGACATAATAAAGCCAAAAGTATTTGCACTGAACCCCAAGGCAACAAAAGGAGACGACGTGTTAATAGCAGTCACGATGACCGAGTTGCCGCATTAGAAGTATGCGACAATATAGTGAATTCTGAAAATGACTTCAATTCAAAGATCATTTGACAGCCGCATCCCTTTTTTCCCGGAACACTTTGGAGAATACTGTGCTAAGTTTCTTGATGACAAGTTGGAAACTACCTGCTTGGCTTATCCCGAATTAGAAAAAAGTCGTTTAAAGACAGAGTTGTCTGTTATTTATGCACGGAATGATTGCCGAGATTTACATGGAACTCTGTCTGTTTTGAAATTTTTGATACAAAATAGTTTGGAGGAAACACTAAAAGAAACAAAAAAGCTATTAGAAATTATTGTTACAACTCCTATGTCAACATCAGAGGCTGAGCGAAATTTCTCAACATTGAAAAGAATCAAGACCTTTCTTCGAAATCCTATTACCCAGGATCGCCTTACAGCGTTGTCGATGCTGTCCATTGAAAATGAATTTATTTCGACCATGGAAAATTTCAACAGGAAGGTGATCGACAAATATGCTGCCAAGAAGGAGCGCAGGATCGAACTGACATAAAAAATGAATAAGTTCGGATTTGCAGAACACCTGTTTTATTTTGTCACGAGCCGCCACTGTAATTGACAAAATTCTGTAACATTTAATATTCTGCAACATTGTCACGGTAACTGGGTTTTCAAGAACATACATCTTCGTATACCCATTTTACATTGATAATTAATCCATAGATTTCTATATGGCCAAATTTCAAATATAAAACAGAAATTTGATGTAAACTAGATTCATGAACGTCTGCGTGGATTTCTGCACGCGACTATAGCCTGTTCTAATTTGTTTGCTAAGTTGAACGTGTCGTCAAAGTGAAATGTCAACCTGCAAGTGACCTAACAGTCATGAAATAAAAAAAAATGAAGCATGACGATTAACCAACGAAAAATCGGCTTAAATTCACCAAGTGACTCGAACCAAATGACATTCGAATCAAAGTTTATTAGGGAAGGTTGTTTAACTAATGTTGCTTGTCAAAAGTCTGTAATATTTGATACAATAATTATATAGTCTGCTACGTTGCCACATAATGAAGTTGTGTGACATGATCTGAACTTCAATCGCTCTTTGACACACTTATCGTCGTATACTCGTTTTACATTGACAATAAATCCATGGATTTCTGCCATGAACTATATTCAAATATAAAAGAGGAATTTGACATCAAAATAAATTAATGAACTTCTCCGTGGACTTCTGCAGGCAGGTTCTAATGAACCTGTTCCAATTTTTGCGTCAAGTTGGATGTCAAACTCCATGATGCCTTGTTTTCAAATCAAGTATAAAACTTTGATAGAACAGTATTTAACGCTATGGTTTCTTTTTCACC